TGACAGAAGTGCTTAATCCATGTGGTATGTACCTCTCTCATACAGCCCACAGCAGTTGCATTGCAATTTACTGCATTAGAGAAGTACTTATTCCATCTGGTATAATTATGGGCCTCTCTTATACAGTACATTGCTGTTATAGTAAATCCTTGTGAGCCATCAAGCTCATATTTGCTGGTGTTTATCCCCTGTTTCGAGTAGCATAAAGCTTTTACTTTACCTCTTATACAGTACATTCATTTACATCTCAATTTACTGTATAAGTACTTACTGTACAACATACCTATTTCATCTAGTATTAAAACCAGAACTGAAAATTTGCAAATTTCAAGTTGCTTATAATATTTTATTGTTTCTAGTAGTATTATTATTATATTTTATCTCATGTAATTCTTCTGGTACTATTTCATATGGTGTGTTGCGCCTCAAAATAGATATGTTTGGATAAATGTAACATTAAAAGTACATTCATTAGCATTAATGTTATTGGTGTTGTTTTTTTTTCTCTTTTCTGCCAAAGCCACATTTATTCAATAATAAAATACATAACACTAATGATTTTCAAAATAACAAATCTGATCAGCAAATCCATATTCAAAATAAAAAGAAAACAATATATATTAGACCTCTTTTATGTTTCTTTAAGATTATCATTTCATAACAGCATGATTTTTACAATCAAATTTCACTCCTTTCATTTTCTTACTAACAATTTATTTTATAAACTTTTTATATTTGTTTTTTTTTTTTTTTTTTTTTTTTTTTGTAAATTCTTTTTTTTTTCTATTCTGTGTCTGAAACCTACGTTTATTCATACAATTATATCATTTTTTTTGGTATTGTTATTATTATAACTTAAGGTGGTTTTATTTTGAATTTTGTGAAGGTAATACAAACGAAAGTATAGAAGAGATTAAAAAATATGAACAGGAGTTCTTCCGTGGTTCAGAACTATTTAGGTAAGTAGTTGATTATTTTAAAAACTTTGCTGCAGCAAATGAATGAACAGGGGTTGTGGGGAAGTCATGTTCCAGGGAAAGTTTATAATTATAGACTTATGTGATTTTCTATCAGAAAATTTACCAATTAAGCACTGTCTGATAAATGTTAACTATTTCACACCTTCTGGCAATAATATTTATCAGTCTCGCTCTTTCTAAAAATCAACTGCACTGATTGTCTTTAAATAACGTAGAATGAACATTACTCCAAATGTTGAGAGGGAGGCCATGACTCAACGTTTCAACTTTTATTGTTCCATCTTCAGGAATGAGAAGACATTGACAGTCTTATAATGCTATAATATGCACTCTTTCTAATTATGAAATTAACCAATCAAAAGTTTTGTAGGTCTAAAATTAACCAATCACATATCTTTAGGTCCGGTAGCCTAAAACCAAGTCAGCTGACCACACAGAATCTTAGCTTTGCAGTTTCTGACATCTTCTGGAAGATGGTACGTGGCTCAATAGAACAGCAAGCCGATACCTACAAAGGTACTCTAATATGCTTTTTTTGCTTTAACTTTAATTTTTGTTATTTATATACAGAAGATTGAGTTGGCTAACTGGTATTAGCTAATGTATGTGCAATTTGTCTAATCCCAGGTACTAGGATCAAATATTATAAGCTGTTTTCCTTGTGTTACTATAGACACTTACTTCAAAGACGTGTTTTAGTATCTGATCCTGCATGCATGTGTGCCTTAAAAATTTATTAAGGACATTTAAGAAAGTTTGTAATACTAGATTTGTGAAGGAATCTTAATATGTTTGATTTGTTTATTTTAGCAAGCCGTTTTAATTTAGAAACTGAATGGAAAAACAACTTTCCCAGGCTAAGGGAACTTGATAGGGTGAGTTTACACTTGAAAATTAATGACAATATATTTGAAATAATGGAAGGGGTTATGATTAGTTAATAAGCCTAACAATGGTGGATTCATACACAAGTGGATTTCAACGTGTTTTCATAAGGTTTTTCTGTGTTTGATTTCAATAGGATGAATTGTTTGATAAAGCTCGGGGTGAATTGCTAGATGTTACCATGGCATTAGGAGAAATAACACCAAAACTTTGGTAAGGCTAATTTCAGGTCATTCAAGGAGTTCATTTGTGTAGAGTGTTAGGATGTATGCTCTAATAATGTTACTTTTATATGTGCTTTATAAGTTGACCATTATTATTATTATTATTATTATTATTATTATTATTATTATTATTATTATAAAGAACACAACAGTTGTAAACTTCATTATAGGCTAGTGCCTATATTTAATGCATTGGCCTTCACGGCCAATCATCAGTGAAAAATGTTCACCTCTGCAATGTATATATACATATGCATATACATAGGAATAACAATTAACAATAAGCATGACAGGAGTTCAACTGTAACAACAATTAAAACATTCATGAATAAAGATTGACAAAATAGCAAATGAATAATAAGGAATGAAACCAATTTAAAAAGACAATGTTAAATTTACATGATATAGTTGTTTGTTAAGTAAATATTGTTCCCATTGAATATGTAGCACTTTCTTGATTTTCAAAAGCTGTGTTGTGAGGGCAGAGTCTAGTATGGTAAAACAATTTTCAGTGGCTAGTTGTTTGCAGTGATAGGAGGAGTTCAGGTGTTTTAAAAAGCAGGAGTTCCCATCCACTGTTAGTTGTTCCCGCACGCGAGTTTTAAAGTGATGGCTTGCTTCACCGACATATCAAGCATTACAGCCTGCACACACAAATTTATAAACAACTCGCAAGCGGAGACCAACAGGGATGGGATCTTTGACAGAAAATAAATTTTTAATTTTGAATGAAGTAAAAAACAAATTTAAATTTAAATCATTGCAGTATTGCTTACATAAGGAACAAATCCTTTTACTATTTATTATTAATGAAAGACTACAAACCCAACTTTTTTTTTTTATGCTTCTAGTTTGATTTCAAAATGACAATGAATATTTAACTTCAATTTATATCATCTATTTTTATTTAAATAATTGTATCAACATTTAGACTTCTTTTTGTCTTGTAGGGAAGATGCAATTTCAAAGTTACTATGGAAACAAGTGTCTGCTCACGTATTTAAGAACATTTACTTGCCTGCAGCTCATTCAGAGGATGCAGGGTATGTATTACATAAAGTCAATATGGCGGATATAATACAGGAAAGTATTGTAACACAGTACTAGTAATATTTTCGCCAATAGTAGATGAGTGAAGTTGAATAGCTCAGTAGTTATTAAGATGCTTGCCTTCTGATCCCAAGGTCTTTGGTTCAATTCTTGTCACTGCAGGACTTTTTCTCACGATAAAGAAACTTAGTTTATAAAGCATCATTCTCATCCTGTAAGTGGCAAGTTTACTTGCTGTTGGATGTGAGAGAAAAAAAAAAAAATCCAAAGGAACAAACATCCATTATACAAAAACAAATAGTGCAGAAATTTAAAATGCTCTTGTTAAATTAATGATTGTATGAATATTGTTATTGTATAAGCAATTATTTACACTCACAGATTCCATGGTTTACGCAATTGTGGCTTTTTATATCAAATTTAAACGTTTCTTGTATACATTATTAAATATAACAGAAACAAAGAATACATTTCTATCGATATTACCCTTGATTCACTCAATGAGAGTACTTCTACACGACATATTATTCTTTGCTTCGCAATTAAGAAGATGGCAATAAAATACCCCAGAGTTGGAATCATTAACAAGCAGTTGTGACAAGAGATCAATTTGATTAGACAAAATAATATCTTTGATTTTAGGTAGATTTAGAGCATGCAACAATGCAATGGTGTTGATCTACAATATTTAGGGATACCCAATGCTGTCTTGAATAACTTACTTTGCATTTTATCCAAAGATACAGAGTTAGGTGAATTTATACATTAAGAGCCATACACAAGAATTGAAACTAAAACACTGTTCCACACATGACTCTTAACCTAGATACTCGATCTATGAATATTTAAAAAATATTCTGTTCATATCTTTTCACCATCATTAATACAAAAATATTTGTCAAAACTTTCGATTCTAGAGCATTCAACACACGTGTAGATATTGAGCTTAGAAATTGGGCAGAGCAACAGCTATCAAAGTTGAGTGTTGAGGTGAGTGACAGCTGGTTGTTAGATATTTCATTAAGAATGGATGGATTTATTTATTCGGTGTAAACACCAAGGATTTTAACCCATTAAAAAATCTGAAGAAGACTTATTTCTTCTGGTGGTGGATGGGCATTACACCAGGAGAAAATCCCCTACTCTTTTCCGAAGAATGTACTGTGTTCACATGGGCCATAATGCACGCAGGATCAACATACTGAGCTAAGATGCTTTCTACTATTGATTGATTGATTTTAACCTGTATTAAAATACATAAATACAGTACAGATGAACAGAGAACACAAGTACAAGATACAGAAAAAAAGTAAAAATGAAACCTTACTTCTTTTCAGGTCCTTACATTAAAACAGAGAATGCATAACGATAAAAAGCTTTAGATAGAAAAACAGCAAAGACAAATATTTAACCCCACCTCCCCCCCCCCCAAAAAAAATGGGAAAAAAATCAAAAACAAAACAAAATAAATCAAACAAAAAACAAAACAAAACAAATTAATTGATAGAAATTACTTATTTGGAGGAATCACTTTTTTATATGTCATGTTCATATGACTCCTTATATTGTATATTTTAATTATTTTTTTTTATTTTTTTATTTTTTTTATTATGTATAATCATATTTTTCACTTCCCAAACCTCATAATGAAATCTTGCTACAGAGCCTTAATATCAATCTTTCACCTATATTGTAGCTACAAACCATTTGTGTAAATCACATATACTCTAATTGCTTTTCAAACATATAAACACAATGTGTCTCTTAGGTTGGTCTGCAAACACTTCAAGATGAGTTTGGCGCCCTCATTGACCAAGACAAGAAGAACAAGGATCATGATGCAATTTACGATGACGTCATCAGCTGTGTACAAAAAGAGAGTCTAAGTCGACATAACTGGTTGCCTAGTAATTCAGAAAATTTAGTTAGTACCAACAATTTATTTAATAATTATTATTTTGATCAATTTATTTGATCAACTTGTATTATATTTTATATACTTTAATTATATGTTGATATCATAATGAATTGTAACCAATGTCATTTAATTGTAATTTCATATTATCTATTATGCCCTTGGTAATATTAATAAATTTTACTATATTGGTAGCGAGTCATTCAGTTCAACACGTTGGAGGATCGTTCAGTGCATGACAAGCAACAATGGGATGCTGCAGTCCAATTTATGGAGGGAATATTACAAGAAAAGATGAAGGAAGGTATAAAAAATTATTTATTGTCTTTCAAATGATGACACTACTTCAAATGGATTGTATCATTTCTGATGACAATTAACAATTGTATCTTTGCTGCTGATAACTAACAAGTTTCTATATATTGTTAGTTAATATGCATGCCATGAATACAATGTTAGTTATGATTGTCATTATTTCATACAACTTTCAGATACAATTGTTTGTGAACTCCAGGTAAACATCCACATTTTGCGTAAATTTTTGTGTTTCTAGCTTTTAGGTTAAGGTGATTATTTTCTAATCCTCAGTTTGTTGGTTAAGTCACCTTTTATCCACTTTAAGCCTCAAAGTGAGATATAGAACTAAGCACTACATACTTGAAATTGGCAAGTTCACTTGTTTTTGCTTGAAAAAGCCATTTTAAAATATTTTTTTATATTTTGTTGTTACAGTTGATAAGAAAATTAGTGAGCTGACTGGTCCAGGAACCACTGAAAAATGGCTGTACTGGAAATCACAATCACAAGAACAGGTAAGCAAGCATGTCATTGTGCATCATACTATGAGCACAACCTGTGTCAGTGTGCTTGCCACCTGTATCAAGATGCTCACCACTCGTTTTCAATGTGCTTCCCACCTTTGTCAAGGGCTTACCACCTGTATCAAGGTAACATCACCTGTTGCAATGTGCCCACCACCTTTTTTAAGGTGCTCATCACCTGTGTCAATGTGCTTCCTACCTGTATCAAGGTGCTTACCACTCCTATCAAAGTACCACCACCTGTTTCAATGTGCTCACCACCTGTTTCAGTGTGCTCACCACCTGTTTCAAGGTGCCCATCACATGTATCAAGGTGATCGTCACCTGTATCAAGGTGCTCATCACCTGTATCAATGTGCTCACCACCTGTATCAAGGTAATCACCATATGTAACAAGGTAATCACCACCTGTATCAAGGTGCTCACCACTTGTAGTATCAAGGTGATTTCATCATGTGATGTCAATAAGTGATTTTTTGTTAAATTTGCAGATTGATCGTGGTAAAACAAAAGAAGAGCTTGAGAAGATTCTCCAATCAGATGAGGTATAAAAAGATATCAATAAAAATAATAAAGTATATGTATGAAGAATAAATATAGTAATAATCATGTGAATGTTATAATAATAACAATAACCTTATGAATAATGATATTTTCTGCTAAGCCCCGCCCTTTGGATATTGTTGCTAAGGTAACGTTGCTAAGCGACAGGGTATAAATATATGCACAACACATGTTTTTATGACATGAATGTATTCCTGGCCCTGTTTTGATTGGTCAGTTGTTAAGTTTGATTGACACTCCGTTATGATCTAAACAGTGTAAGGCTTCATCATCATAAAAGTAGAAAATCTCAACAGCATTTTTTTAAACATTGATTGAGCTTGTGTTTCTTTTTCATGATGATTATGAAGAATGATTATTATTATATTGGTGATTTCATTGCCTCACCAGTTGAATTTCTTTTCTTGTGTTTGTCTAATGTTTGAATGCATTTCTTTTTTTAGAAGCACAAGAACAGTTTGATGCCAGATGAAGTGACAACTGTCCGACGTAACCTTTTCATGAGAAATGTTGAAGTTGATGATAAATTTGTGAGTAACTATAAGCTGTATGTACCGGTTAACTGATTGTTTGAAAGATTTACTAATAAATTTAAATTATTTTTTATTGATTTATTGGTAGAACGAAAAAAACAAATTATTATTATTAATATTTGTTGATAATTGATGTAACAAATTACTTTTTTAAGTTATGGATTGTTTGCTAATTCATTGGTTAACCTTTTAACAGATAGATTGTATTATAGAATTTAGTGTGACTAGAAAAAAATCAACAAAACAAATCAGGATAACTTTGGGTCATTGATTTATTGATTCGAGAGCGGCTTAGCTCGGTCGGATAAATTAGTTGTAGTAGTTTCTTATGAGACGTTTAAGCCTTTGGTCCCGTGTGTATTGTGGCCCATGTGCACAATAAGAAACGCAGTATACTCTTCGGAAAAGTGTTGGAGAATGTTTCCTGGTGTACTGCCCAATCACCACCAGAAGGACCCCGCTGGAAATAAGTCTTGTTCAGACTTTCTTGCGTTATCCTTGGTGTTATATCCATAATAAGCAAATGTGTCTTGTTCAATGTCTAAATTGTGTAATTGTGAATAATAACTTTGTACTGGAAATCAAAATTGCTTTCAATTTTTTTAGGTTCAAGATACATGGCAGCCAATATATAGAAAACACTTTCTTCAAAGATCATTAGCACTTGCTCAAGAATGCCGCAAGGGATTCTACCATTATCAAAGGGGTTTTAATGATACAGGAGTAAGTAATTAATATTAGATAAATCTTAAAATATTGGTGAATTATTGGTTGATTGATTTGTGAGAATTTTTTTGTTTTTTTTCTTATTTCTTTATAATTATATTCTGGTTTTTCAGCCTAAGTGCCATGATATTGTGTTATTTTGGAGAATTCAACGCATGTTACAACTCACAAGCAATGCCCTACGACAACAAATTGTTAACACAGAAGGTTTGTACTTTATATTGTAAACAGTGTTTCCTTTTTTTGTATGGACACACTTTCCATTTTATATGTGGATACTCTTTTTATCTCTACCGTTTTCCATATGGATACTTTTCATTTTCCATGCATAAACATCATTTTCAATGAACAAACTAGATTTAAGTGTTGATAATGTGAACATAAATTTAGTAAAATAATGGTCATTTTCTTTGTTCAGTACGACGTTTAGAAAAAGAAGTTAAAGAAGTATTAGATGATTTTATGGAAGATGAAAACAAAAAAAAGCATTTACTCTATGGAAGACGAGTAGAACTTGCGGAAGAACTGAGTAAGTCTCAACTATTTATGTACCTGTTTATAATATTCCAAAAATATAAAATTCCAAGAATAAATGTATCTTTAAAATGACAGATAAAATTAGCTTCAGTTTTTTAAATTCAATTTTGTCGCTATTCCGAATTTGAAATTTAGAATTAGAAATTTTGGCTGTAGAATTAGAAATTTTGGCTGTGGAATTAGAAATGTTGTCATCTTCCTTACCTAACTCTCATGCGAGGGTTATTCAAAAAGCAGAGCAACCAACTCCAATGCAAGAGAGATATGATCCAAGGTTTTCAGCACAAGAAGCACGAAAATTACACCTTGGCCAGTCGCTCAGCTTGATGAAAATTACATTAAAGATGTATTGTCTCTTGCAAAATACCCAAAAATAAATTATCAACTTGAACGTAGAATGTATTTAAAAAAATGTTTACTCATTATCGTACAGCAAAAAATGATAGAAACACTTCAAGTCACTATACTGGAAGTATTTATTATCTTTGTTATAATTATCTAGTTTGAAAATCAGGGTACACATTTTTTTTTATTAAATAACTTTTATGCTCAAGTTAATAATTTATATGTTACTGCAAAATGAGCAAGTTAATTTCAAAATCATTTTTTATGATTTTATGTCTTTCAAGGAACACATCTTTAATGTACAGAAGACAGAAAACAAAAACGTATCACACCTTCATTTTATTTATTTGAACTTAGGAACAAACAATTATGATAATCGTAAATCAAATTCATAAAAAAATCACAAAACTGAAGGTAGATATATATATATATACATATACATATGCTAAAAAGAAGATCGGAGGGGGGAAATGAAACAAGCTAGAAGAATCAACATAGGCCATATACAAGAAGTCAACCAATTGAAAAAACCCCTTTGTCGTTGCATATCAAAAATAAATAAAGCAAGGAATGATGGGATATTTGTTGATCATTTACATAATATTTCTTGTTTGTACGTTCACCAAACTACACAGTGATTATCAAAGATGATTTTTTTTCTCTGAGTGGAAAAAATACTGATGGATTTTAAAAACTGATCTTGACTGCATTTGAAGATTTCAAGCTTTTGTCGCGAGTGTACGCTTAGGAAAAAATGAGGTCAAGGCAAGTTTAAGAAGATCCTTAGTACAGCAATTGAATACCAGGATGGCTTAATAACACAAATTACTCAGATTTATTTCAACTGAGCCTAATAAAAAAATTCTCAATTAATAAGAAGTTTTGAAATAGTGATGGCTCCTATTGTAAGTGTCTTAGAAGTTTAAAAGATCTTTATTAATTAAGTTCATCACCAGTGATTGTTTACTAGTACCCCTCACCTTAAATTTCTCCAGGTTTTGGTTGATTTCCATCAAAAATGATTCTGAAATAACAAATTTTTTTGCGTGTAATATTTTATAGTACATTGTCATTAAAGAAAATTATTGTATTTTTGAAGCATATATGAAGACTGCCCTCATGTGGTCATTGCTAATTAGTGAACAGACCTGTTTGAGAATCAGTTGTCTAAAGTATGAAATTTTGCAGACTGTCCCTGAATTTTTTTTGTCAGTTTACAGTATCCAATTGCTTTTTTGTTTTTATAAAATTCATAATAATAATTTGTAGAGTCTACATCTAATCTTTGAAGATTACTTAACAAAGGTATCTGTGGCTAATACATAGCACTTTCATAATATGTGGTAATGTAACCAAACATGATAGGAGTATAAAAAAGGTTTAAATACATGAGTTAAATAAAAAATTAAATTATAAAAATATAGATGCATAATCAATAAAGTAGCAGTAGTTTTCAACCATGAGAATGTTGTGTGCAATTGAAATCAACAAACCTATTATTATTAATTTTTTTGACAATAAAAGAATAAGAATTCAGAATGTTATTCAAATTTACTTAAGTAGTCTATTTCAGTTTCAATTAATTAATATAAATGATGTAATTGAAGAAAATGGAAAAGTTGTCGCTAGACTCATAAAGTTAATTTACAGGACAGGTATAACCTAAAATTACAGCTTCCGGGGGCAGGGGGGTTGTCTTGCCCTGGTATTTGGATGCAGACACAATTAATCTTGCAAAATGTGCAAGCTCCTTGACCCCCTGGGGTGTATTCTTAGTCACATATTTAGAATGGAACAATTTTATTCTCAATCATTCACATGATACCAGGTATACATTTAGACTCCTGGGGGTGGGGGAAAGACAAAAATGTAGATAGAGTCTGTTGGCCAAGGATACAAGTAACGCTTCATTCACACTGTGCGTATGTATGCATACATACATAGGCTCAGGCGTGGTAATCTAAAATAAAGTATAACTCAAGTTCATTTAATACCAATCGCAAATAAACGCTAGTATAAATAGTGTTTTAGGAACTTTAGCATAGACACACTACTGTAGAGTACTACAGTGTTGCGTAATGATACCGCATGATACTACTCAGTTGCAATCGTTGCAAAAAGCGTTCAACCAGGTGCCATTTTCTCCACTGACAAACCATTGATCCCAATTTCTAACGTAATTATTAAGATGTTGTATCACACTTTTTCTTTGTAAATTTTAATTGATGATTAAATGCGAGTTTGATAACTAATATAATGCGAGCTTTTGTGTTTTTAGTATGAGTATTTTGATGGTAAAATATTAGATTTCAAAATGCCTATTTCAGAAAGCCTATAAAGTCATTCAGGCACAATGAACTGTGTCCAACGTCTGTTAACAACAGAGAGCGCCACATGACTGTGGTACTCTATGTGCAGCAGATATACTCAAGCATCTATACCTTGTACAGATTATTTATATTATTATTATTATTATGATTATTATTATAATTAATATAATATAATTATTTCTATGCTGTCAATGTTAGTTTTATTACAATTACTATTAATAATGATAATAGGTAGAATTGTACAGCGCAAATTGTATTATTTTATTATTTAATACTATTTAATACTATTTATTTTTCCTTATTGTGGTTAGTAAATGAACAATTTGTAATCTGTAGCATATCAGAGGGGAAAATGTATTTTCATACAAAAGTACATTTTCTTTCTCATTGATTCAAAAGGTGAATGCCTGTTGCTATTGACCCACTTATTTTAAGACTGATAAAGTTATATTAAATTAAGTTACTTGGTTATAGTTACGGCAAAATTCAAATTGAATGGAATGTATGTTGAATATTCTCAACACTGGAATTTAAAACACAACGCAAATACATTTCCTATTTTGCACAACAAAATTCACTGTTTACAAAGTTTGGCTGATTAGCCAATTGTTCCACCTCCCACTGTTCATTTTAAGGTGGGAAAGTCCAGCAATTTGTCGTCTTCTGCCTTTTCACCTGCCTCCCTCTGTAAACAATACAAAAGTAGCAACCTTTCATGTAGGCCCCATGTGGGAACGTGTTAGGAAAATTTACACAGATAAATGTTGGAATGCGGCAAACGTGATAATGAAGAAGAATATTCTTTGAGGTGGCGGTTGTTGTCAATCGAGCTAATTTTGAACAACGCGCATTGAGTGAGCGTGCTCAGTGGTATATCGTTAGATTATTTGCCAAGAGGCGGCATGACCGCGGCTCAACATGCGGGGGTGGCCTTCGAAGTGATAATGTAATCATATAATAAATTGTTACAATTTGTAGCAGTTTACCCATAGGTGCAACCACGGTAAAGGCTAAGCCAGTTGTTATGAGAGAACAGTAGGGGGCGCCTTTTCAAGCAATTGCCATTCTGAAATTAATACCGTCATCCTGGGTTGATCTAAGAATGCCGTAATTGAATATAATAAACTGAGGAGATTAACCCGGAGTTAAACAACCAGATGAGTATGATGAAGCGTATGGCAAGAAGTTGCCCCGTGCTTATTACAAGTTAAGATGTAATTAGTCTTAATACAACAGCATGGTCGTGGAGATGTGGCAGCAGCCATGTTAAGTATCTGTTCCCACATCTCATGCTAAGCGAGTGCCAATTCCACTCTTGATTTGCATGGCTTGTTGTCAAACAACAGGTTTGCATTAAACAACTATTTTTAACCTCAATTGAACTGCAGTGGCATGACAAAGCTACTGTGTGTTATCTCCAGTTTTTTTTTTCTTTTTTTTTTATTAAGTAGATTTTTATACAACAAATGAGATCATTTTTTAAACTTATTAATTGAGTTGACTGGATTTATTGATTAATTCATTGAGTGATTAATTAAATGACTGCTCTAATTGATTGATTCATTGGTTTATTTGATAGTTTGAGTGATAAATTTGCTTTCCAATTCCAGGGCACTTGGTTCAAATCCTGTCAAATCAACCAAAACAAATCCGCTCCTTAGCATCATAATGAGAGTTACTTTATCCTCTTTCTTTATTAACATTTAACCAGGAAGTCCCACTCAGTAGGGGATATACGGCATAAGTCTGGTGTATATCTGTCCGGATTGTCCTCACCCTAGCATAAAAATGAGAATTACTTTATGACATAAGGCATCAGTCTGGTGTATATTTGTCCGGATTGTCCTCGCCCTAGCATAAAAATGAGAATTAATTTATGACATAAGGCATAAGTCTGGTGTATGTTTGTCCGGATTGTCCTCGCCCTAGCATAAAAATGAGAATTACTATATGACATAAGGCATAAGTCTTGTGTATGTTTGTCTTTTGACAGAAATTTTTACCTTTTTAAAGCCCCATTCCCGGCAAAATTTCACTAAAAAAAAGATCTTTTTTTTTTTTAGAAAAAATGCATTTGTATTACTCTAATTACAAACCATGGAAAAATACTGACATGAATTTTAGTTATACGCAAAAGGATAAAAAAAGGAGAAATAGAGACTAATTCTCATAGGAGATTACCATTTTCTCGTCGACTTCTTCGTTACTAGGGAAATTCAGAGGTTGTAGAGCACATCTGCTGGAATGCTCTCGCTTTACGTGTGTATCTTTATACAATCAATAAAGTGCACCCTGTCTAATAAGATTTAGGAGAAAA